ATACATTAGAGGTCAAACGGTCAACGCAAAGGTTTGACTTTTTTAACGAAAAGTCAAATGGATAAATAGACATCGCCATTGCTTTCAGAAGGTCCAAAAACTTTAGAAATCATTATAATATTGGCTATGTTCCGGTCCGAGACCCACTTGACCAAAATTCCACTCCAAGGGGCAAAATCAGTCATTTCACCACTATGCAAAGAATTTCCTGACGTCACAAAAGGGTGAAATAGATGAAATGATAGGGTGACAAAAGTAGAAGTATGAGAATTTTTCTCATAAATCTAACACTGATCAAAAGCAACACAAGATCAGGTTTTCGTTAAGAGGTTGGATTTCTTCATTTTTCCTACTGAGTTTTGGTGATGCTTTTGCAGGTATGTTTAACCTAATTATATTTAGTCGTGTGTCTTGTGTATGTGTATGATTTCCTAATTCAGTTTACATAAATTTCGTACACTGTCTCTATTTTATTTCTCTCCACTTTTTCCTCTCTGCATTCTCTCTCTCCTCTCTGTCAATGCTGCCACACCTATCACCATCTCCACCTCCTCTACCCCTTCCCTGGCCACCACCACAAATGGCATAACTAGACAGTCTAGACCTTGGTGCCATAATAAGTAGTCTATATTTCAAAAGTGTTTCAATACAACTACCGAAAGAACTAGTTCGAGAACAATGTCATTAATTTTAACTGTACAAGGAAGATTCGTGAAGCAATTGACAGATTGGAGGTTAACATTGTAATAAATAATGTAAGGTTTTCATACCCTTACTCAAGCTTTTTCATGAAATAGATGATGAATGGATGAAAATTTTGATTAAAATGAATACTTTAGGCACTACAAAGATAAATTTACAAAAATATATGTTAGCAGCAAAAATTCTTCCAGGTCGAATGTGGAAGATGGAACATGCGGGCATGCTTGGATTCACAGAGAATCCAAAAAAGATGGAATAGTGCTATTCCAAAATTGGTCGTGAGAGGCATCACACTAAAGCAATTGTGGAGAGCTTGGACACTCTCTCAAGGTTCTTTTTGTCTTTGTATAAAAGGGCTTCAGAATTAGAGTGATGGAATGTAAGAAGAGAGAAATGATTAAGCTAATGCAAGCTAGTGAAAGAAGCACTGAAACACTGAAATAAACTGAACTAAAAGATTATATTGCCTCGAAATAAACTGAACCAATTTTTTTATTTTTCTTAGATTATTACTTTTCAAAATTTTATTTTCTCATATTGTTATACCTCAAAAAAAAATTAATAATAATACTAATAACAGAAGGCCTAAAAAATATTTATTTCCTTATATTATCACCTCCATAAAAAAATTATTTATTTATTAGACTCCAACCAATAACAGAGATTTAATAGTGGGTCATTTATATCCTTACTCCACCTTTGTTTCTCCTCCCCTCATTCCACGTTTTTTTTTTCTCCTCCTCTGTCATTACACGTGTTGGATTATTATTGAGTATATATCTATTACACTGGTTATATTAAGGGGGAAAAAAACTTTAACAAAAGTAATACAAGAATCTAATTATAAATTTTGCAATCAAGTAAATAGTTTTTAAATAAATATAATTAACTATCACTTTATTAATATATTACATATTAAATACTAATTTTATATTTTTTTGCCTAAGATCGCACATTATATTAAGCCGCCCCTACCAGGAGAGAGAAGGAGGATTTAAGTTTTGCAGTGAAAATGATACAAAGAGAATTGATGGGTCAAAAACAAGAGTGTTTAGCATTTTTTTTAAATTTTTTTTTATAGGGGTACAAAGTAAATTTGTATTCCTTTTATGACATTAGCCGCTGGTATGCAATTCTTTTTATTAAAAATAAGGGCAAAATGATAATTTTGCATTTGCCATTAACCTCAGCTTTGCCTTTATTACTCACAGATTAAATTAATGGAAAAAAAAAAAAAAAAAAAAAAGCCTAAAGCTCCCCTCAAGTTTGGTTAACTTTGCCCAACACCCCCTTCGTTAATTGACAGTTTAAAAAGTCACAAGTCAACTAATTAAAAATATATAATGCCAAAACTATCATTAACTAGTGAAGATGAGATGTATGAGGCCATAAATGAGTTTGAGACCAACTAGGCCTGATGTGGACCTTGACTTTTTTTATTAAATTTTTCATTAAGTTGGATGTTTAATTGAGGCTTAAATTAAACATATTGTGAATTATACTAACATATTGTTCGATATTTAATTGAGAGCATATGATTGGTAAAGCTAATTATATGCTTCATGCTGACTAATGTTATAGTATTTTCAATCAATTTAATTCATAAAATGAAGGAAGGTAAGGAAAAAAAAAAAAAAAGATGAAGAAATAAACAGAGAAAAAAGATGACATTATATTATGAACATTATATAAAATATATTGAATAATCATATTGTAGTCTATTTATATTGTTGGCTTAATCAGCTAAATTATGTATCATAACTCAAAATCAATTTCATAATTATTTCATTGGATTGATTTAGAATATATATATATATATATATATATATATATATATATATATATATATATATATATATATATCCATAATATTAATTAATTTCATAATAATTTTATTAGATTGATTTAAAGAAGAAATGAGGAACGAAACTAGATTGGAAATACTAGATGTTTGTTTTTAGGATTTTCCATGAGATGCCCAATCATAGGTGTATTCGAGATTCTTACACATATGGTACACGTACTTATTTGATTCATGGTTTATGCCTAAATTAAAATGATATATTTAAATTAATTTAGGTTGATATTTGTATCCAAATTAAAATGACTTAAATTGAGGAATGATAGTTTTGGCATTATGTTTTTTAAATTAGTTGACTTTTGACTTTTCTAATGATCAACTAACGAAAGGGGATGTTAGGACAAAGTTAACCAAACCAGGGGAGGTTTAAGTTTTTTTTTTGTTTTTTTTTTTTTCACTAATTTAATCTGTTAGCAATAAAGGTAAACCAGAGGGGGATGTCACAAAGCATTTAACCCTTAAAAAATTACCGGTGAACTCTAACAAGGGGTCAAAAGAAATTATCAAACAATATCATCTCTGGGTAATTTGGATAAACTTCAAAGTAGGTCGGCATAATTTATTTAAAAAGAAAAAATTATGCCAAGATCAAGGTTCATAAATAACATTTAACACATGTTTAAGAACTATCAAATGTGGGTTTGAAATTACAAATTTTAATTTTAAATTATGAAGCTTTCTAAGGTGTTCCACTTTTTTTTTTTGTATTGTGTTTAGGGTTGCAACTCAGGTGGGTTGGGCAGGCATGGAACTCATCTTGGACTAGGCCTATATAGAAAATCTTCAACCTAAGCCCAGCCCGCCTTAAGCCCGAGCTACCCAAGCCCACCTCAAAAGAATTTGTGTGTAACGCCTTAAGCCCGAGCTGCCCAAGCCCACCTCAGAAGAATTTGTGTGTAAAAAATAAATCAATTAATGCTACACCCATGACTTAAACTTGACACCTTAAGCATAAATCCCAAACACAATACCAATTTAGCTGCTACACTCTTGTGACTTAAATATAATTATAAATAAATAAATATATATATATATATATATATATATATATATATATAATATTTTCGGGCTCGGGTTGGGCTTCAAGTTTCATCCATATCAACCCAAGTCTAGCTCGAATTGAATTCTGACTCAAAATATATAGCCCAGGCCTAAATCGAAATTAGAAAAACATTGCCCAAGCCCACAAAATTTCGGGCTGGGCTCGGGTTATTTCAGGCTGAGCCCGCCTGAGTTGCAGCCCTAGTTGTGTCCGAATAGGAAAAAGGAAAGAAGAGTGTAGAAAAAATAAGAAGGAATGGACAAATTTTCTTTGTTTGGTAAAGATGATATAAGAGAATAGGAAATATGATTCATCATTCCCTTTTACAAATAGGGGAGGGAAGACAAGTGAACTATTATAAAAATTTTAAATTAAATATTATCTTAAATTATACAAGTTTAAATTACGCTAATATCATTTATAAATTACAATATTATAAATATAATTACAAATAATAGTAAAAACAATTAAAATTTTCTGTTTTCTTCTCTGTTAATTAATATAATAAATTATGAGTTTATTCTCTTATCTTCTATCCAACTGAACAAAAAGAAGACAATACATAATCTCTTCCGTAAGGATGTCTCATACATACATTTTTCTCTCCCTTTCATCCAAATTTTTTTCTTTCCTTCTGAATTGCATCAGTTAGGAATCTTTTAACTTTTTCATTTTTTTTTTTATACAGTTGACAGGGTTATTTCCCATAAATATTGTTTCCTTTTTAAAAAAATTACAAGATCATTTATATTTTCATGAATTAATTTTTACATGTCACTGGAATGATTGAAGATACAATTATTTTAGAATTTTTGGAATATCTTACCGGGTCTGTTACTGTTAGGAACCAAAATAAACTTGCACTGCCAGCGTGTATGAACCTTTTCCCGCCATTACGGTCTAAAGTAGGGTAGGGCGATGGGTTCCAAGCTATACTTAAATGGAGATGGTAGCATGAGAAGCCCGGGTTAGGGACGGCAATGAAACGGTTTGGGGGCGGAAACGTCAGCCTCATCCCCATCCCCATCTCCATTTCCGTTTAAAATAATTATCCTCGTCCCACCCTAAAATCATTTATTAAACAAGTCATCATTAATTAAATAGGTCAGGACGAATTTGTATAGTATTTTCATAATTATAAAACTAGTTTAACAAGAAGTGAATAATAAAACAAATTTTCAATTATGATAATAGTTTCTTTTTTTTCTTATGCCATAAACACGAGATTCAACCCCTCAATTTAAATTTAATATTAAAATTATTATTGAAATATCAAAATAATATATACAAGTTTTCAAATTAGAATAATACAAAAAAATATGAATAGAATAAACTAGGATTTGTTTAATATATAACTAACATTAATGATATATAAAATAAAGTAGAAGGACAAAATTATAATTTAACAAAAACGTTGTTTGATAAGTCAATCCAAACAGGGATCTTCCAGGGCTAGATTAACCTTTACAAGTGAAATTCATTGGCCAAGCCCTACATCAATTAAGTTCATAAAAATAAAATCAGATCACTATCCTAAAACACAGGAAACAAGAGTAGTATGGAGAATAGTTGACCGTTATTCTTCCCCCAAGTAGATGATATGAATGCCAAAATTCAAAGAGGAAGTTTTATGATTCAAACAAACAAGAAGATGATACAATAACAAAGAAAACTTTGGAGAGCTTAATCCTTGTACTTCATTTCAGACATCAAGAAGCCGGGCATGTCAAAAGAGGACGAGAACTTCTCGACGTCAGCCTTGAGTTCCTCCATGTCTTTGTTGTTCACCAGACCCTTGTTGAAGTCCTTCAAGAGCTTTCCGAACTCCTCCTGGATTTTCAATGTGACAGTCACAGCCCGGTGGAGGAACTCTGCAATCTGTTCAAAGTCCTTCTCAACCAACCCTCTGGAAGTCATGGCCGGAGTACCTGCAAACAAAACAGGAGCTATCATTATTAATTCTTTTCAAGCAAAGAACTGTTAATGCATCTTTTCTTAATTCATTTAAAGAAATGGAAAAAAGAAAAGGGGAAAAAAATATAAAGAATAAGAAATTATAGACTAGGAGCTTTGGGTAAACTGGAACGAATTCTGAATTAAGAACTGAAACAATAGAAATCAGAATGAATTCTTTAAGATAGGTGAGGTGAAAATGGCTACCGGCAAAATTTGTTCTAGGGGATTGCAGAAGTATTGGTGGGTTAGAGCATGTTTAAAGGACTTCTACAAAAGTTCTCACAATAAAATTACATTTCTATCATTTCTTTTAACTTCAACATCAAACTATCTTCTATATTTCTGCATCATGTCCTAAAAACATAGAGGGTCTTTGTTGGTGAAGTCGAAATTTTATCTTTTTAGAAATGTTAAATGTTGGAATTTCATAATTTCCTCCCTCCATAGTGGGGTCCGGTTGGGGACAGAAATAACTATGCTGATAAGAAAACTCATTCTTCCTTGTTAGTTTTTTCCGGTAAATACACTCTCTTGTAGTTGCTTCCAAACAAACCTTTAAATTACATTTTCATGCAGAACTCTGCTGATAAGAAAACTCATTCTTCCTTGTTAGTTTTTTCCGGTAAATACACTCTCTTGTAGTTGCTTCCAAACAAACCTTTAAATTACATTTTCATGCAGTAGTTTTCAGTTTTCATCTGTAAATTATGACATATAGAGTAAATAAATAAATATATATATATATATATATATATATATATATATATGTTTTTTCTCAATTAATTTGAAGTTATGACAAAAAGATCATTCAATGCAAACTCAGTACATACCAATGCGAACCCCTCCAGGGGCCAAAGCACTGCTGTCACCAAAAACAGCATTCTTGTTCACAGTAATGTTGCATAGGTCACAAAGCTTCTCAACCTTATTGCCTATAAAGATGAGATAAATATTTAAAATTTTATCAAAATAAATGTTCATAAATACTAAATTTACAACCCAAAAAAAAAAAAAAAAGAAGAAAAGATCCAATGCATTTACCAGTTAATCCAAGAGGACGAAGATCCCAGAGAACAAGGTGATTTTCAGTTCCACTAGTGACAAGCTTGTACCCTTTGCCCATCAGGTAGTTTCCAAGGGCAACTGCATTGGCCTTCACTTGCTTGGCATAGGCCTTGAACCCAGGAGACATGGCCTGTTTCAGGGCAACAGCCAGAGCACCGATCTGGTGATTGTGGGGACCGCCCTGGAGGGAGGGGAAAACAGCAAAGTTTACCTTGTCTTCAAAGTCATAAACTGCATCTTCTGGCTGGCCTTTCTTGGCTGGTTTGGGGCCCTTCCGGTAGAAGATCATACCAGCCCTAGGACCTCTGAGGCTCTTGTGGGTAGTAGTTGTTACTATGTCACAGTATTCGAAGGGATCTGCAGCTTCCTACACCAAAAGGAAAAAAAATATTTAAATTAGAAAGAGCAAAAACCCGTTAAAATTGACATTGTAAATAGTCCGTGATTTTCATAATTTTGCTTTGAGATTGGCTATTTCTGCATGACATTATGATTCCATTACAGTTGGGTTAAATGTACATTTAAGTTTTAGATGCACAAATCAAAATTTGAGGGGACTAAATTTTAAAAACACACACGTATAAAAATATATATATAAATAAAACACTACCCCAGGTAGGCACATCTTTATGGTTGAGCTATCCCATCACTGGATATGGACACTTAGCAAGTAACCAATTTTTACCTAGCTGAACTCATATAATTAATTTAGGCTCAGATGTGATCTATATTTCAATATAAGAGTTAAATTATCGCATCAAGTAACACAATTTTTTTTTTTTTTTTTTTTTTTTTTTTAAATTTTGTGGTAAAAATTGATACTTAAAGACAATACCACAAATTTTTCTTTAAACATTCATTTAGATCATTCAACTTTGCAATAGAGTCAAAAAACAAAAAAAAATATCCTTGGCCAATTGCTTAGCTCAACTGAACTCCTCCTCCTTCCAAATGGAAGGTTGATGTTTTGAGTCTCCAATTGAATTGGACAATAATGGGGGCATGTGTGTGACTTGGCTATCAAAAACAAACTACTATGTATATCTGACCTAAATTTCTTTGCCTTGCAACTGATTTTCAATCGACTCAAACACAAAACGAATTGATTCTAAAGTAGGATTTTTTTAATTTCACGAGTATGCGCAAATTTAAATATATTATAAAACTACTGAAATACATCAAAACTGAGATCTTGATTTATAAGATGCAAACCAAAAAAATAAAATTAAAGAGAATTGATAATAAAATATATATTAAAAATGGGAACTTCTCATATCCAAACATGGACCAGAACAATCCACTGGAAAAAAGAATATGACCCACATCATAAAAAACAAGAAAATAAGTGGGTGGGTGGGGCAGAAAAAAATGACAAAGAGAAGGAAATATAGAAGCAAAGTCACACAAGTTAGCCTGTTTTAAACAACCAAAACCCAAGTTTACAGATTCTATAGTAAAAAACTAGAAGATATAAGGATCTAATAATTAGACTCAAGAACACACAAGTGAATATTAGTGAAGAACATAACTAAGCAGCATAATCCCAGTAAGACCTTCAATGTCACCAAAGAAATCAAACTGAAATTCAAAAATCCCAAATTCAGATCTCCACATTTCATCCAAACAAACCATACCCACATCACAACAACAACTCCAAATTACCCACAAATTTAATTTCAAAATCAATAATATTTTTCCAGATTCTATAACATTTATACCAAAAACACATAAGTGTCAAAAAAAAAATGTACCTCAGCAGCAACAAGTCCACTAATATGAGCCATGTCACAGAGCAAAAGAGCACCACACTTATCCGCAACAGCCCGAAACCTCGCGTAATCCCAATCCCTAGGGTACGCACTCCCTCCACAAATGATCAATTTGGGCCTGAAATCCAACGCCTTCTCCTCCAATTTCTCGTAATCGATATATCCAGTACTCGAATTCACCTTATACGGCAAGCTCTCGAAGTAAATGGACGTCGCCGATATCTTCTTCCCACCGGAAGTGTAGTACCCATGAGTCAAGTGACCACCGGACGGTAAATCCAGGCCCATGATCCGATCGTGCGGGTTGAGCACCGCCGTGTAGGCGGCGAAATTGGCGGGAGATCCCGAATAGGGCTGCACATTGACGCCCCATTTGGTGGGGTCGAGACGGAAGGTCTTGAGGGCTCTGCTCCGGCAGAGGTTCTCGATCTGGTCGATGTACTCGTTGCCGCCGTAGTAACGGTTTCCCGGCAAGCCCTCGGAGTACTTGTTGGTGAGCGCGCTGCCGAGGGCTTCGATGACGGCGAAGGAGGTGAAGTTCTCGGAGGCGATGAGCTCGATTCCTCGGCACTGCCGGCGTTTCTCCTTCTCGATGAGGTCGTGGATCTCCGGGTCGACGGTTTGGAGAGAGGTGTTGCCCCAGGAGTCCACGGGATCCATCGGAGATTCTAGAGAGAGAAAGTGGAATGGGTAGAGAGAGGGAGAGGGGATGAGGGAATGCAGTGGTAGTGAAGTTGTAAGTGGTTATAAGAGTTCATGATATTTGAATTACCGTTGTATCCTTGTGTTTTCTTTTTCTTTATTTTTTTCTTTTTTCCTTTTTCATCTTTTCTTAGTAATTTTTTAAACTTTGGTTTGGTGGTGGTGGAAGTGAAAAGAGAGTTGGTGGTTTATTTTTTATTTGAAAAAGTGGTTGGCTATCATTTATCTGTTAATTATTATTTAGGTGACATTTATTCTGTAATCATGGTTGAATTGTAATGTTTGGTTTGTGGATAGAAAATGAAAAGAAAAAAGAAGTAGAAGATAAAAAAAAAAATGATTTCTTTCACATTTTCATCTCTTATTTAAGAGAATTTAAAATTTTCTAAAAATGGTGAATAAGAAAAATATTAAAATGATAATTTTTTTTTCTCATATTTTATTTCCTTCGTATATAAAAATGAAACTTTATGAGAGGGTGATTGAGCACCACCCAAGACAAGAGACGAGAGTATTGGAGAATCAATTTGCAGTCATGACAAGATGCATCAAAGATGAGATTTCGTGGTGTATGTTATTTTTGGATAGTATTGTTTCAGTTGATGAGACTTGAGAAAGAGTTAATGTCAAATTAGAGGTTTTGGGGAAATGTAATAAAAAGGGTTAATTAGAACGACACATCTGGAATTTATCGTATTGACAGTCACATATAAGTTAGTTCTTTTTTGGACAACGAGACTCTCCAAGTTTGCAAACTTAAACAATGACACTCTAAATTGGATGAAATTACATGTTTACCCTTTGACAACGTAAAATGACCAAAGTAACCTTAGCTAATATACACAACCACCACTCACCACCACCGTAACCTCGACAACCACCTTCTTCTTCGTTGTTCCACCACCATCGCATAAACCCAACAATTCAAAATTACACACATATATTTATATATACATACATACAAAACATAGGGTAGAGGCAGCCATTGAACCCGGCTGTATTACCGCCACCGCCGCCACCAATACTGCCCACCTATTCTTTCTCTCTCCACCCACCACTGCAACTTCTACCACCACAACCAAAACCCATCAATTGATCCCATGAAAAACCAACTAAAAATCTAGCCAATTGAACCCATTAAAAACCAAAACCCAACTAATTGAACCCGAGCTGTCTACCATCCCCATCTCTCCACCTTCCCAGCACAGCCATTGAACCCGACTGAGTCCAACTTGGACGAGTCAGAGCCCGTCACCGCCGCTGTCAGTCAGCCACGCCCGTCACTACTGTTCCGAAGTCAACCGAGCCAACTACTGCCGATTCCATCCAGCCAAGCTATCCACCGGCGTTTAGTGCTATTAGCCTGTCACCCACTGCCGAGGCCATCTTCCCGTTGCCCACAGCCGAGGCTGAGCCCTCACTGGCTAAGCTGCGAGTCCTCCACGGCCGAGCCATCCACAGTTAAGCTCTCCACCAGTCGAGCTCTCTAAAGCTGAGGCCAAGTTCATCCTCGCAAAACTCACCGCTAACTCGTCCCCGCTGGATCCATCACAGCCGCTATTCTCAACTATCGCTTCATCCCACCAAGTCTCCCTTTTGCTAAAAATAGACGACAGTGAGGGTTTGGGTAGAGGCCATTGCTGGAGAGTATCTGGAGTTTTGTTTGGCCAAAGGCTGTTGTCGGGCAAATCAGAATTCGAGCCGGCAATGAGGAATCAATCACGATTCCGATGACGATTTTTTGGTTCGCGGTTCCTGTAACGGCTCGATGGCATCCTCATTAGTCCTCAACGCAAAGCTCAGAACTCCAACGGTGGTGGCGCAGCATTGCGCGGAGGTTAGAACTACAACGGCGGTGGCGGCATGACACTGGTCATTGAGTTTGGGTTTTTTCGGAGCAGAGGGTAGAGAGAAAAACCTATGATTTAAGAAGGGTAATTCTGTCATATATATATATTTTGATATTTTAGATTAATAATTGATATTTTATTAAAGGGTAATCTCGTCTTTTCACAACTTTTAAGGGCTTGTTTGGATTAAATTTCGGGCAGGAGGTGTGAGTGTTCAAAAAATGGCTTTCTTATATATGCTTGTCAATACCCCAAACCTCAGGGAGTGTTTTTGTAATTAACCCTAATGAAAATTAAGAATTAATAGGTATAAAAAGGTGCATATTTTCATTTTTTAGGCTCATCTATTCATAAAAAGGGAGAAATTGGATATGACATTAATCATAGAATCAAGACATGGAGGGTTAAATGGAGAAGTGCACTAGTATATCGTGTGATGGAGGCATCCTTTTATGATTGAAAGGGGAGTTTTATAGAACAGTTGTAAAACAAACCATATTTTATGATATCTAATGTTGGGCAGCTTGGAAACAACAATTGCATATAATGATCATGGCATAAACTGTAAATATTTAGATGGATATGCAGTAAGACTACAAATGATAGAATTAGAAATGTGATATTCGGGATATGGTTGGAGTAGCACCAATTAGAGATAAAAATAGAGAAAATAGGTTAAAATGTTTGGACACGTACAAAGAAGACCTTTGCATTGGATCAGAAAAGTGACATAAACCACATAGAGGGTAATACTAGAGAAAGAAAACGACCAAAGTCAATGTTAATAGAGTTAATAAGGAAAGATACGATAGCATGTGAATTAACTAAAGTCATAGCCTTAAATAGAGGGGAATAGAAACATGAATTTTATGTAACAAACTTATAAGTTAAGTTTGATGAGCGAGTAAACATTGATTTGATTTTGATGAGTGGGTAAGTTAATTTTCCCTCAAAAATAAAAAGGAAAAGAGGAGTAGCTTTAAATGATTTTTTTTTTTTATTAGAACAAATATATGATAGGATCTCTAAAAAAACCTTTCAAAGTACATTATCACCAGCTAGCATACTCAAGGAAGTTGTCACCTTGGTATAATTAGCACCTTCATGAAAAGACTCAATTGTGTGAATTCATGAAAATTATTCTCACCACACAGTTTGCATATATACTTATCAACACCATGTCATTGTTTTGAAATTTCTATTATTATTAGGAGTAGTATTACTTTATTTATTAACATACTGTTTTGAAGTTGGTAAATGTGGAAATAGGGGTTTAGAAAGTTTAGGTGAGTTGGCTGTTGAGGGACAATTTCGTCATTCAAAACACAACAACCCCTTGCCTGATGGCTCATACCGAAATTTCCCTCCATAAGGTTGGTGGTTGTACGATCAATCAGTATGAATGAAGTCAAATTGTTTCTATTTTTTTAGTGGAACAACGAGGAGTTCAATAGTTACACGGAAATACGTGCGTGTATATAATACTGCTGTCTGGAAATTGAAATATAATAAACTTTTAATTTACTCCTACTCAATTGGAAATTGACTACTTGACTACTCATTCGATTTAGATGAAAAAGTAGTCAAGTGATTGAAAGAAAAATACAATTTTATTTACATGCAGTTCGTTAGCATGATTTTTTTTTTTTTTTTTTTTCAAAACATTAATATCTATATTTAAAAAAGAAAAGAAAAAAAGAGAGCATAAATTACATTGACATCTCATGTAGATTGTCTTTATTACTCTGATACAAGTTCTGGCGAGTGATTTTCAGAAGCCCTGCGGTTTGATCCATCTTTTACTTTTTAAGTAATGGGAACTTGGATTCGTTAAGAGTTGTAAAGCAAGCTTTGTATCATTTCTCAACCCTCTCAGGTCTTTCCATCAACTTAGAATGAGCACTGTGTTTTTCTCAGGTCTTTCTCTATCTACTGAACTAGTCATGTATGCCTACCTTGGTATAAGGAAAGACAATCTAACTATCAAGGACTTGGGAGTGCCCTTTACATCCACCTGCTTAAAGGCCACATATTGTAAATTAGACAATATCACTATAAAGATTAGTCACCAAGTCACTAGACTAGCAGGGCTCTATCATAGATTCATATGTAGGGAGCCTACAATTGATACAATAAGTGCTCCTAAGTTGCATTACTTACTGGTCATGCCTTTTTGTGCTCCTTAAAGCGGTTCTTAATCACCCAAATTGCACTTAAGAGCCTTTCTTTGGTCTTGTACAATAATGAAAAAGAGTGGTTCAAAGGTAGCTTGGATCTCAGTATGTAAACCTAGGAGTGAAGGTGGTTTAGGGCTGCCTAACCATGAGCTTCAAAAAAAAGCTGTAACTTGAGACACCTCTAGGCTCTTCACAGTTATGTTTTATGGGTGACATGGTGTAAAAATTACCTCATTAAGGGCAAAAGCTTCTGGCAGGCTGGCAGCTACCCATCCCTCATAATGTTTCCTAGCGTAGGAGAAAACTAGTTCAATTAATTTCTACTTGCTGCTCCTCTTCTAAAGACCAGGATTGGTAATGGTTCCTCTTACTCCTTTTGGCATGATAATTGGCTCCTTGATGGTCCATTTTACCCTGGACTGGGTAATCATTTCATCACTTGATGTTCCTCTTCATACATTGATGGACTCCTTCATTACTAGTTCTTTATGATCACTATAAAGATTAGTCACCAGACTAGCAGAATTTTGGGAATTTGATGACCGAGATGAGACTTGCGACATCGACCAAATTTGGCAAGAACAAAATTCACAGAGGCAGACTTACAATCTAGGGTTTTAAGGGGTCAAATGGAAGCTGGTATCGCATCAATTGATTTGGGGGTAAGTGATTGGCCAGCGACCTCCCCCTCGCCCTCATGATTGATCGTCTCTCATGCTTAGGCTGCATATGGTGTTGTCTACCAATGTAGTGCCTTGTTTCTTCCCCTCTATTGAGGCCAGTAGTCGTTCCAAGGGCAAGACTTGATTTTCAGTTTTGTTTTGGGCCTTCATCTCATGTTAGGCTTTTTGTTGGGCTATGTTCCCATTTACTTGCTCATATGTAGCCGTGGCAATATTTGGCACGACATGCGAACACCATACCAGTACGACACGAGATAAGATAGTTTGAATTTGGGGTAATTGTGTTTGTGTCGTAATTGCGTTGACACGGATTGATCCGCAAACTAGACGTGTCGTGTTCGTGTTTGATCATGTTCATGTAAATAAGATTAATTCGATTAACTAAACGTATCGTATTCGTGCAAAAATGACCCATTTAGTTAAACTTGTCGTGTTCGTGTAAAAAATGATCCATTTATCTAAACGTGTTGTGTTCGTGTCAAAAATTACTTAAATGTGTATTTTCATGTTATGTCAGGTCTTGTCTCATTTATTAAACAGGTTACGCGTGTCGTTTCGTATTGCATGTGTAATAATCGTGTCATGTTAGTTTCAAGGGTCTTAGACACGATTAATAATCATGTCGTATTTGTATTAATTCTAATTATATTCATGTCATAATCGTGTCAACATAAATACGACATGCCAACATGAATAGTCAACCCCGCTAACATGGCTTAGTTAGGTATAATAGTGCAATTTAAAAAAATAATAATAAAAAAAATGGATTGCATTTTTTAACAGGTGAAATGCAATAATCACCCAACGTATTGTTTATATCAAATTGCGGCATGTTAATGGAAGCCATGACCCACGAGGGTCCAACATCACTCTCACTCCGACCTCGACCTGAAGATCCACCAAACACCGAATCACTGTTTTGACTTCACCCACTCCAACACATCCCAACCGTCCATCTAACACCCTATAAACCCTATTTATATCCACTTCCCTCTCTCCGGCTTTACTTGTCCGCATCCCACTCTCCGCTTCAGAGCGAAGAGAGATAGTGACTCTGTTCAGATCTAGAGAGAGAAAGAAACCCAAACTCCCATCTCAGATCCCTAGAGAGAGAAAGCAAGCAAAAACAATGGCCTTGTCAGTGGAGAAAACCACTTCTGGCCGTGAATACAAGGTCAAGGACATGTCCCAGGCCGACTTCGGCAGACTCGAGATCGAGCTGGCCGAAGTGGAAATGCCCGGTCTCATGTCATGCCGGACCGAATTCGGCCCCTCCCAGCCCTTCAAAGGAGCCCGAATCACCGGCTCCCTCCACATGACAATACAGACCGCGGTCCTCATCGAAACCCTAACCGCCCTCGGCGCCGAGGTCCGCTGGTGCAGTTGCAACATCTTCTCCACCCAAGACCACGCCGCCGCGGCCATCGCCCGGGACAGCGCCGCGGTCTTCGCCTGGAAGGGCGAGACCCTCCAGGAATACTGGTGGTGCACCGAGAGGGCACTCGATTGGGGTCCCGGTGGTGGGCCCGACCTGATTGTGGACGATGGTGGTGATGCGACTTTGTTGATCCATGAGGGTGTGAAGGCCGAGGAGGAGTTTGAGAAGAGCGGGAAGGTGCCCGATCCGAGCTCGACCGACAATGCCGAGTTTCAGATTGTGCTGACCATAATTAAGGATGGATTGAAGAGTGATCCGAAGAAGTATCATAAGATGAAGGAGAGATTGGTTGGGGTTTCGGAGGAGACGACTACTGGTGTGAAGAGGCTGTACCAGATGCAAATTAATGGGACTCTGTTGTTCCCTGCTATCAATGTCAATGACTCTGTCACCAAGAGCAAGGTATCATATTTCTGTATATATATATATATATATATATGATCTGTAGATTAATAGTTATGTAGATATATATTTATATACACACATTTTAGTTTAGATTTAGATTGAGGCCTGTGATTGCTTCTGTATTGGTAGAGCTAAAATTTAAGTGGTTGAAATTGAGATCCCAAGTTAATTTTAGATCTGATCTCAAATCGTAAAGATATGAAAATGATATAAATTCACTTTTTCTGTTCTTGCAAGGACTATATTCTACTTGATACATATAAAATTTAAAAATTTAAAATTTTATTAGGATCTTTATTTTATTTTAGTACAATGAAACTAGTCACTTGTCCATTTTTTTTTTTTTTTAACTCAACTTGCTATTATTAGTTCATAGCTGATCTATATTTTGCAGCATCTTGTTTATATCTGGGACAATTTTTTTTTTGGGGGAATGATTGATTGAATCTGGCAGTACTACTATTTATTGCAATAGTTACTTGAATTTAAATTAATTTATGCATGTATGCATAGTTTTTTGGGTAAATGTATGTTAAATTCATGTGGGATAAAGGTAATAAGGATGATATTTGTGTGTGTATATATATACACATATGTTTAAGTTGTATTTCATCATTCTGTGATCTGATAAATGGCATGTTATTATTGTATAATATGCTTCTTGTTCTAGAGTCTGATGTCACTCTGTTGTCTTTTGTTCTCTATTGGTTTATGTGAACACAACGACCTCTCATATATAATTGATGTGATATTCTTCTTGTTTTAGACTAATAATTTCTCTTATCCTTGTTTGAACAGTTTGATAACTTGTATGGATGCCGCCACTCCCTCCCTGATGGCTTGATGAGAGCAACTGATGTTATGATTGCCGGCAAGGTTGCAGTTGTCTGTGGTTATGGAGATGTCGGCAAGGGCTGTGCAGCTGCCTTGAAGCAAGCCGGGGCCCGAGTGATTGTGACTGAGATCGATCCTATCTGTGCTCTTCAGGCTCTTATGGAGGGCATCCAAGTTTTAACCCTTGAAGATGTGGTTTCCGAAGCTGATGTATTTGTCACCACCACTGGTAACAAGGACATTATCATGGTAGACGACATGAGAAAGATGAAGAACAACGCCATCGTGTGCAACATTGGCCACTTTGATAATGAAATTGACATGCTCGGATTAGAGACTTTCCCCGGTGTGCAGCGAATCACGATTAAGCCCCAAACGGACAGGTGGGTCTTCCCTGATACAAAGTCGGGCATCATTGTGTTGGCCGAGGGAAGACTTATGAACTTGGGTTGTGCTACGGGGCACCCTAGCTTTGTGATGTCATGCTCTTTCACTAACCAAGTGATTGCTCAGCTTGAGCTGTGGAAGGAGAAGAGTACCGGGAAGTATGAGAAGAAGGTGTATGTGCTGCCCAAGCACCTTGATGAGAAGGTTGCTGCTCTCCACCTTGGGAAGCTTGGTGCTAGGCTTACTAAGCTCTCCAAGGATCAAGCTGATTACATCAGTGTACCCATTGAGGGTCCTTACAAGCCTGCCCACTACAGGTATTGAGGAATTTGACTGATATCAGAAATTTTGAATCGTCCGATTGTTTCTTTCAATATTTTGATTTGTGGTAGATCAGCAGTTTTGATTTTTGTGGGGGTTGAAGTGTTGAGGAAAGAAATAGGTTGGTCTCTGTTGAAGAAGACCAAATTGGGTTGAATAAGGATCATGGGCTGTGTGGAGTGACTACTGTTGCAATTATAGTTGTAATGCTTTTGCAATTTTTTTTCTTTGTTAAAAAAATGAAAAAGAGAAAATATTTGCCTTCTTTTATTAAAAATGTATTTAATTCTATTGATGGTGCTCTGCCACAAAATGCAAATGTCGGATTAGAGTAGTGGTGATGATTATGATTGATTAATGTGATTAATTGATATTTGGTTTAACATTTGGAGCTTGAGTGAGTGAGATCGGTTAAATCAGACTCATAGTAGTAGTTCTGATGTGATTAATTGTTATTCTTTAGTTTACATGACTTCACATTGCCTTCACAAGGTTCAACATTAGTAATTTTTTTTAATTTATTTTCTACTTTCTGACTACCACCAAGAACTGTAGCCTGTTGGACTTCCTCACCTTTGAGGCCCAGAGTTAGTGTCTTCATAGGAACAGGGTTTAGCTTATTAGTGGTACTCCCTCACCTTTCAATGTTTGGGGTTCCGAAGTTCAAGTCTTCATAGGAATTTGCAAAAAGAATTGGGGGTGGGAGTTTTTTTGCCAAGGTAAAAGAAGTAAAAAATTGACTTATACTTGCTGACTCATTTATGACTCCTTGAATTTCATCTATAATTTATGTGTTGCCAGATACATATTCCTGTTCTCAGTGTTCTGTCATTGGGTTCTATTTACATGATGGGATCTTTGTCTATTATCCTACTATAAACTAATGGTAGTTGTCGAGCAAGGTGAGAATTTTAGGTGTTGGTACTCTGTAAAGTGGAGACACATAAATCTTCATGAAGGAAGTGGTTTGATTTGATTCTATCACATTAACCACGAGTGTTACTGACAATAATTCAATCATTAAAGGGGTCCAGTGGTCTGCTTTAGTTCTTTTTAGTTAAAGAATCCTGTCTTGACCACACCTTATGTGGGATGATCTTCATCCTTCCTTCACCGGTGCACAGCATTGTGCATTGTACAGGAGACTGTTAGGGTCCTAAATGGGTGGGAGTACTTCTTTTTCATGAGAATTGATTCTCAATAATTTCAATCCAATCCTACGGTTTGAAATATCAGAGCTGCTTGAAAAACTTAAACTTGGGAGATAATTAATTTGTGTAGATGATCCAATTTGGGCTGTGTGTACACAACTCCAGCATAGAGGATTCTGTATTGAACGCCCCTCGAATTTCCTGCGGCCATTATTGAGGATACCGAACATGTTTGTGTAGTGATAGGTCGATAGGTCCTTTGAAAAATGAGGACTGAAAGCACTACGAATCAGTTTGATCCGGCGGTGATAGGTCGATATGTCCTTCGAAAACGGAGGATGGAAACCACACCAAACCATCAATGCCAGCAGCCAGAAACGGAGGATGAAACCACACCAAGTCATCCGGCAGCCAGAAACGGAGGATGGAAACCACACCAAGTCATCCACTTTCCATCATGTTTTCTTAGCCGGCTGCTGGATGATTTGGTTCTGAGTACCAATCATTTTCCATCATGTTTTGGTTTCAACTATCAACCAAGAAAGGGAAAGCTTTGAAAACTAGTTGTTCTCTGAATCCAAAGGTTCAAAGCATTCACTTTCAAAGCATGGTTAAGAGCAGTTGGATAGTGAAATCACTAAAGGGATTTTTTCCCAAGTTATTGAAAGGTAAGGGTTGCAAAATAGGTTATGACCCACCAACCTGATCATATTCGCTCACTTTAAAATGAATATGGGTGAACCATTTTAAAATATGGGTCAAACTGGGTGATTCATATTCAACTCATTTTTATAGAGGGTTAAATGGGTTGAATATGAGTTATTCATTTTGAACCATATTTCATTTATTATATATGAGGCCCAGTTTCATAACTTTTATTTGACTCAAATTCACTTTTTCCTTTTTAAATTTCTCAAACGATTCCAAATTCTCTCTCTCCAACTATCTCTCTAAGATTCTCTCTTCATCATGAACCCCTCGTGTATGTAATACTACGGCTCGAAAGAAACCTATGTTTATATCTGTATTTCAAAGTAGGACGACTTGATTTATTTATATAATTATTTATTCTATAAAAAGCTTAATAGATGATTTAATATATATATACATAATATCTCACCTTCATGCATGTCTAGTCACAAAATAAGATAATACAAATTTAAAGAATTTTCAAAATAAATTAGAGGATTTACAATTATCCATACATATTTTTACAAGTTTTTATCCATCTAAAATAAAAAACTATAATAATGAGATTATTCAAAATAATAAATTTTTTTTGTTCTTTCCCTAAAATGGGTTGACTCGATTTATTTTTACCCAACCCATATTTAACCCGTTACAAACGGTTGAATATGGGTCACGAACCATATCCGACCCGTTTATATTTGACCATGACCAAATCCGACCCATCCCGCCTGTTTGTCACCCTTATTGAAAGGTCGATCGGTTTTTTAAAACAATTAGGTTTTAAGATTTAGTTCAATGTCACAGTTAAATACTTTGTGGCTTGTAATTTGGCTTACATTACTTTGTGGCATTCAGGTCATGACATATAATGTTGTAGTAGAGTCCGACATTGTTCCAAAGAAGCTTATTAAACCTTAAAAACCAGTAACTCAATAATTTAGATGTCTGAAAAGGCTCTGCTTATGTAGGTCTTTTTCCTACATAGCAGAGACCTATCTTTAAAACATGACATGTACTTTGTGTCCTTTATTGTGAGGCTTCAACTTCAAGATTAAGATTTAGTTCATGTCATTGCTTCCTGATGATATCAGAGTTGGGATCATGAAAAACATTGTTCGCATTAGGAATTTTGTTTCAACTTCGTGTTGTGACTTGGTTTTGAAGGGAAAAGAGAGAAAAAAAAATTGACATGTTTTTTTGTTTGATGGTTGTTGGACTGTTTATTACTACTGTGTTGTAGTCGGGTATATAAGAGAGTTCAGGATTTATAGTGGGATAATGAGTGAGCGTTGAAAATCATATGAAAGAAAGTGAGAGAGCGAGCGCGTTAGGGTTTAGAGGTTAAAACTTGTAGTCTTATACTTTTTGCATAGTGAAATTCACCATGGAGAAGGCTTATGCCAAATCACATCAAGCTCTGAAAATTAAGGGTTGTCTCTGGTTGCATCAACATTTCTAGCATAAAGGGAAAAAATTCCAAGGCAAACATAAAAATCTTACTAATTAATTAAATCGAATAATGCATTGTTCTACCACAAGTTTATTAGAATATGAGATGTTACAATCAATCGAATAGAGTCTTGACTTATCTCAACGAGATAAAATCCAAACAAACTTGTTTCCTTAGTTATATCAAGTTCTACCAGCACACTACACCCTATTTTCTTTATATTGCATATCATTCAAGTTAAGAGTAATAATATTCAGCCCGATTGTTCAGGCCGAATAGAGTCCGAACTCTTTATTTTTTTACACTTGTATTGACTATTCAGTGTCTCTTAATAAATACTTCTATTTTGTATGTTAAGAAAAACCCTTTGCATGATTCAAAATTTACAATGGATGCCACTAATCATTTAAAAAAAAAAAAAAAAAACCCTTCTAATTAAGGTGACAATTCATATGCTTTTGATGTCAAGTTTGCACATGCTCAATCTAATTAGATTTACTTGCTCTAAAAATTAATAAAATATACCAATAACTTTTTCTATAAAAAGTAATTTAAATGAGATCTACATATATGAAATGATATCATGACTCGATACAATTTATTATTAATAAAAAAATGGATTAAACAATTAATTTTTCAGAAAAGTTTTCGAACCACACCTTCGACATATAAATTTTTAATTTTTCAAAATTTAAGTACATTAAAATTCTTAAAATTTAAATATTATACAATTACAATTTTTTTAAAAAATTGTAATTATATTATAAACTAAAAATAAGAATAAGAAAGTATAGACTTGAAAGGAAAGAAATATGGAATAAACCTTTTCTCTGTATTAGCACACAATTGACAAGTTTACATGGGTTCTCGTTATAGGAGAGAATACACGCACATAACTAGCTGACTTAATTAATAATTTCATAATTTACAGCATTTGACCAATATTCTATTTACAACAAATATTCTTCAAATATTATATTTACTGCCAATAATATTTGGTAGTATTACTAACGAATCTTTCCTTTTCAGCACTCTCCCTCAAGCTGGTTTGAAGATATCCTCCATAGCCAGCTTGCCAATTAGTCTGTCGAACTGTCTTGTAGGAAGTCCCTTTGTAAGCACATCTGCAACTTGCTCGGTGGTAGGAATGTATGGCATACAGATCAATCCTTTTTCAAGCTTTTTCTTGATGAAGTATTTGTCTACCTCCACGTGCTTTGTTTTGTCATGAAGCATTGAATTGTGAGCGGTCAAAATAACAGCTTTATTGTCACAGTATAATTTCATAGGCAACGAATTAGAGACCTTTAATTCATCCAATAGTCTTTTAATCCATAACACCTCACAAATTCCATAAGCAATTGATCTAAATTCGGCTTCTGCACTGCTTCTTGCTACTACATTCTGTTTTTTACTCCGCCAGGTGACAGGGTTACCTCCAACAAAGGTGAAGTAGCCAGAAGTTGACCGTTTATCAATAGCTCTCCTAGCCCAATCCACACCAGTCAGGCTTCAACTTGCAAATGCCCACGGTTTTTTAACAGTAGATCTCTTCCAGGTTCCACTTTAGGTATCTGAGAATTCTATAGACTACTTCAAAGTGTTCTCGTCCAGGTGAATGCATGAACTGGCTAACCATGTTAACTGCAAAAGCTATATCTGGACGTGTATGTGACAAGTAGATCAGTCTTCCAACAAGTTTTTGATACTGCTCTCTATTCATAACTTTTTCATCTTTAGAAGGCTGCAGCTTAAGGTTGGGCTCAATGGGTGTGTCGGTTGGTTTACATCCTAGCAGACCTGTCTCACTAAGTAAATCAAAAATATATTTACGTTGATTCACAAATATATCTTCTTTGGATCTAGTAAACTCCATTTAAAGAAAGTATTTTAATGCACCGAAATCCTTGATCTCAAAGTTAACTGCAAGTCTCTTTTTCAGTCTCTCCAATTCTTCATTGTCATTACCTGCCAAGACTATATCATCCATATAGACAATTAACACTACAACCTTGCCTTCTCTACTGTGTTTGTAGAACATGGTATGGTCAGCTTGGCTTTGATAGTAGCTACAATTCTCCACAACTCTCTC